GAAACTCTGTCTCTACTAAAAGTACAAAAAATTAGCTGGGTGTGGTCGTGCGTGCCTGTAGTCCCAGCTACTCGGGAGGCTGAGGCAGGAGAATTGCTTCAAATTGGAAAACGGAAGTTGCAGTGAGCCGGGATCACGCCACTGCACTCCAGCCTGGTGATAGAGCGAGACTGTCTTAAAAAAAAAAAAAAAAAAAAAAAAAAAAAATTGATTTTCATATATCCCTCTGGCCTTGGTGCCAGCTTTGTAGCAGCCCCTTTCTTTGCTATTAATTTAAAATCCTGATAGCCAAGCTTATTAAAATTTGGCTATTCTAAGAGTGAGTACACCCAGAGTCAGGTTCTTAGGGGCTGTCCCATGAATAAAGTCAATGAAGTTTGGACTTGATAAAATCTATTTTGGTTGCTTAGTGATATACTGGGAAAAGCATGAATTTTAGATCAAACAGATGGAGACTTGCAGCCCAATTGTGATTAACTAGCAGGGCAATTTTAGGCAGATTTCTTTCCTCAGAGGTAATCTTGTTGTCTTTAGAGGCAAAGTTTCAGTCTAGTGCCTGGCACATAATATATGCTCTGTAGTAGGTAGTGCATTTCAACCTCATGTTTGGTTTTTGTGTTTTTTTTTTGTTGTTGTTGTTCTTTTTGCCACTTCTGTAATTTTTTGGCTGACAGTAAGGTGGTGAGTCTGCTTAATGGCTTGAACTGTCAGTTGGTAAACTGTTACTATAAATCAGGGTTCTACAATGCTGGCATTACTAACAAATTGAGCCAGATGATTATTTGTTTTGCAAAGCTGCTGAGTGTATTTTATGGTGTTCAGCACTGCTCCTGGCCTCTACCCACTAGATGCCAGCAGCACCCTTGCCCCAAACCAGTTGTGGCAAGCAGAAATGTCTCCAGACATTGACAAAGGTTCCCTGGGAGACAAAATTGCCCCCGTTAAGAACCCCTTCTGTAAATAAATGTGTGTGTAGATTTTATTATAAAATTTATTTAAATATGCAGCACAAAACAAACACTGAATTCAATTGTACTGTGTCTTGAATTTCATTTGTTAGAAAGCTGGGTTTATAAATACTTAGGTAACTAGTATTCCGTTAAAACCTGTAAATTCATTCATTTGCTTATTGAGTAAAAGGAATTCTCAGAAATTTCTATGAATAGCTCTATAGAATAAGAAAATTATGATGCCAGGACTAGTGGAGTTAGTTGGCCACCCTCTTCTGTGTTTCCATTAGTTTATAGATATGCCTACTAAATTGTATCTTTTTTTATTATTTATTGTCCATTACTTATGTTATTAAACTGAGTTTTTCAAACACAAAAAAATACATAGTATTTATTTTTCCACTGTCATATCCGTCTCTACTCCAAAGTGTGTCACATAATATGTGTTTAATTAATGGTATTATATTAGATTGGGAAGCTGATGCATTTTAAATATGAGCTTTTGTTTTTACTGGTATTTGTTTTGTTATTAAGTATAAGCCTGTAAGGAGTAAGTTATCTTACTAGAATAGTAACATTAAAATGTTGTATAGGGTGAACTTCAGCTTCAAAACTAAACCTCCTTTTAAGGTATAAAGAGCAAGCTAGTGATGTGATCCTTTAACCATGTGAATGTCACACATCCATGCTTGCCATCTGACATCATCTCACTGGATAAAGTAATGTGTATAACAGACTGCTGATGAACATAAGCTTAGTATTCTATTTTTAAAACTGACAACATGCTCATAATCTAAAGACCTGCTTTTTAAAGATCAAAATAGTTCAACTCTTTTATATCTTAAAAGTACTCTTTTCCTATATTTAATCTAATATATTTATATTAAAAGAAGCTTTAAAGGAATCTTTATTTTCTTCTGTTTTATAAAAACTTTAAGGTATAGGCTGAATATAAAAAATTAAAATTATACAGAAGAATATATGGTAAAAAGTAAAATTCTTTCCTTTAATACCCTTCCCACCCATCTCCCTGTTCTGACAGTAATACCACTCTCCAGAGGTAACCACTAGAAAATATTTATCCTTTTCTAGTATAATTATAAGTACAAATGTGTGTATGTGTGTATTTTCTTGGGAGTTGTGATAATTAAATGAGCTAAACAAAATGAAGTGTTTACTGTGTGCTCAGTTTATTTGCCATTTATTATACAGTTATACATCATTTGTTTACCATTATTACACAGAATATGTTCAAGGAATGCATTATTAGGTAATTTCATCATTTTGTGAGCATCATAGAGTGTACTTACAGTCCTTGATGGTGTAGTGTACTACACATCCAGACTCTAGGGTATAGCCTGTTGATCTTAGGCTATGAACCTGTACAGCATGTTGTTGTACTGGATACTGTAGGCAGTTGTAACACAATGGTAAGTGTCTAAACAGAGAGAGATATAGTAAAAATATAGTTTCATAATCGTATGGGACCACAGTCGTATATGTGACCCATCATTGACTGAAAAGTCATTATGCAGTGCATGACTGTAGATATATATGCAAAAAGACTTTTTAAAATGAGAATGTGATACATATGTGTACAGCTAGTGCTCGACTTACGATCACAACTGGTTCCGACAGACCGGTCGTAACACAATTTGGTTGTAAGTTAAGTAGGCTATATGTATAGTACTGTGAAATGATGTTATAAAAATCTTTAAGTCATATTTTATCATATTTTTCTTTCATTATTGTTATATATCATAATTTTCTTTGTTCATTTTATGCCATCTGTATCATCTCTACACCATTTTCTTATTTTTACATTTGTCAGGTTTAAGTAAAACACTACCAGTACAACTGGTTTAATATTTGCAAAACATACAAAATTACAAAATACAGGTGCATACAAAAATACAAAATACAGGTGTAAAAAATACCATAGGAAACATTTTCCCAATTGCAAAACATATCAAAATATATAAACATGTATGAAACATTTTATTGGCTGCTGGTGCTTGGCTGCGGATCGTTGATGTTGTCATCTGAGGCAGCAGTTGGGGTTACCGGAGTTGGTTTTTTCATAAACATAGTGAGCTTTGTCTGAATTGTATGTTTCTTTTTTTCTCCATAAATTTCACGATACGGATGAAACACATCGTGCACCATCCGTTCAATCCTTGCAAATCGTTCGACGTTTGGGTCCATTGCTTCGAAATGTATAAGAAGTTTATTCAGTAAAGATAAACCGTCTGATAATCCCTTAGTGGTGAACTTTCTTTCTGGCTCCTCCTCTTCTTTCTCTGCTTCTCTTCTTTCTTCTTCCACCACTCTTTCTTCTTCCAGTTCGATTAGCTCTTCATTTGTAAGTTCTCCGGATTCTTTGTCTAGCAACTCTTCAACATCTTCCATTTCACACTCCAAAGAAAGGTCTTTAGCGAGTTTTACTATTTTTTCCTGAATCGTATCAAGTTCATGTTCACTGTCAAATCCATCAAAATCATTAATATAGCACTTAAAACAATTTTTCCAGATGCCATTCATGCACCTTGTCATCACAGCCTCCCAGGCAGTAGCGATATTCTTGATACACATCAAAATGTTGTAGTGTTTCCAAAAATCTCGCAATGTTAGTTCTGAGTCAGCATCTATAGCGGATATTGCTTGAGCGAAGGTGGTTCGGAGATAGTTGGCCTTTAATGTAGCAATCGAACCATGGTCCATAGGCTGGATGGGTGGAGTCGTGTTTGGCGGAAGAAAAACAAATTTTACATCTGGATGGAGATCGCCTAGATGTGGTGGGTGTCCAGGCGCATTATCAAGTAGCAATAAAATCTTGAAAGGAGTATCTTTCTTCAAACAATATTCTAGAACTTGAGGAATAAAACAGTTCACAAACCAGTCTTCAAACAATCCTTGTGTCATCCATGCTTTACATTGAGAACGAAAGTAGATGGGCAGTGTGTGCTTGTTAACATTCTTGAACGCACGCGGGTTGTCTGAGTGATAAATTAAGAACGGCTTCAGCTTAAACCCTGCGATGTTCCCACCAAGCATCAGAGTTAGCCTATCCTTAAATGCTTTAAATCCTGGCATGCTTTTGGCCTCTTTGTGACTATAAGTGCGTGCTGGCATCCGTTTCCAAAATAATCCAGTTTCATCAGCATTGAAAATCTGTTCTGCTAGATATCCCTCATCTGTAATTAATTCATCCAGACTATCAACAAACTTACATGCTCCTTCCTCATCCGCTCTTGCTGCTTCTCCAGTCACTCGAACACTATGCATTTAGAATCTTTTCTTGAATCTCTGGAACCAGCCAGTGCTTGCTACAAATTCTTGACTGTAATCTTCTCCAGCACACTCCTTCAGAGTCTGAAATAGACTTCTCGCCTTCAGCTGCACAGTAAAAAGACTTAATGGTGTCCATTTTTGAATTTGATCTTCCATCCAAATATATAGCAATTTCTCCATTTCGTGGATGGGCCCGCTTCGTTGCTTTGTTACAACTGTTGATCGCATGGGTGCAGAACCTTTCACAGCTTCACGAATTCTTTATCTTTCAAAATCGTCGACACAGTCGAGTGTGATAAGTTCGTATCACGTGCAATCACATTCACTTTCTTTCCTCCTTCGTACTGCTTAATTACCTTCATTTTCGTGTCGAGATCGATGGCCTTTCTTTCCTTCTTGGCAGGCTGAGGCGTAGACAAAGACAATTTCCTCTTGGTAGACATCTTGGGAGGGGTTTGATGAAAAATATCCAAGACACAAAACACAAATTGCTGTACCGAGTCTGGGATAACAGTTGAAATGGTGCACGCAGAGATGGTAGTGCTGCCGCAAGCTGGTCCGCAATGTCGTACGCCCAGCTGGGCAACGTTGGCGCTGCCAGACGCGGAGCAGTCGTGGCTAGCGATTGTGGTTGTAAAGTCGAATGGTCGTAAGTTGCATAGGTCGTAAGTCGATCAATACCTGTATATAAATTTATATATGTGTATGTGTGTGTATATGTATACTGACTTGCAGTTTGCAGCTTTCCACACCCCAATATATCATAGAATGCTTTCCTTTCTATATGTATCAGTCTACTTTTTTTGTAGCTGTGAGTGTGAGTGTGTGTGTGTATTTGTGTCTAAATTGTCATATAAAAGACTATGCCATGGAGTTCTAATATGTGAGATAACATTTTTTAAAGTTTGCGTATTATTTCTTTTGCTTATTTAGAAGAACTAAACTTTAGAGTAATACAAGTAAAATGGGAGTAGCATTTAGAACTATCTAGTTTTAACTAGTCATTACGTTTTTAAAAAGATCTTCGTTTTAACAAACATAGTCAATTTTTTAATAATTGGAGATAATTTACAGTTCTGTTGTAACCTTGTCAGAATATAATTGTTCATAGCCCTTTTTGAATATTTTAGTATTTGTGTAAGAAAGTCATGTAGATTTATTATAGCAAATAACAGATTGATTCACTGCTGATAGACATGGATTTTAATAGGCAAACCAGTGACATTATCAAAACCTTTAACCTGCCTTAAAATAAGGTTTATATGATAGTATTTGTTTTGCTTATATAAAAATACAAAGTTTAACATGTTATACAATCATCTTAGCTAAAATATAAAGAAGTTATTTCCCTATATAATTAGGAATACCAAATGTTGGATCCTGATTTCAGACAATATAACCCAGGGGTAGAGACAGTGTCAATTACATGCTGCCGTTCTGTTTTTTCATTCCTATTTTCTTTCAGGTTGGCTTCGTTCTCAGATAAACATTTTCTTTTTTTTTTTTTTTTGAGACAGAGTTTCACTCTTGTTACCCAGGCTGGAGTGCAATGGCGCGATCTCGGCTCACCGCAACCTCTGCCTCCTGGGTTCAGGCAATTCTCCTGCCTCAGCCTCCTGAGTAGCTGGGATTATAGGCACACGCCATCATGCCCAGCTAATTTTTTGTATTTTTAGTAGAGACGGGGTTTCACCATGTTGACCAGGATGGTCTCGATCTCTTGACCTCGTGATCCACCCGCCTCGGCCTCCCAAAGTGCTGGGATTACAGGCTTGAGCCACCGTGCCCGGCCCAGATAAACATTTTCTATAGGACTAAGATACATCATCTTTAATGCTTCTAGTCTTGAAAAGCAGAGAGGAACCCTGTCTTAGCATCTTCGTGTATGAACTCTGATGTTATTTGGTCATATTCAGCTAGGCATTGTGACTGATAGCCAATTTAAAAAAATGCCTGGATGGCATGAGCAGTGCAAAACTTAATGAAAAGTGTAGTGTCTAATAATTTAGCATTTTATGTGACTGTTAAACTAAATCTTACATTTTGTAAAGTTTAACAATTTCTAAACATAGTCAATTATTTGCTTTTAATATATAACAAGCCTATATAATAGGGTAGACAGAATTACATTTTAATGACATATTAATACAGGAGATGGGATGTCACCAGTAATGGCAAAAATAATAGTGAAGAAACTGTTACCTAATGGTTGAAAATTAATTAGCAACTTGATTATTAGCAGAGGCGTCATGAGAGGTCCATGTTTTAACTCATTCTATGTTATTCTATTTCTTTATGTGTTTTTCATAGTATATTAGTCCATTCTCATGCTGCTGTAAAGAACTGCCTGAGACTGGGTTGGTTATTTATTTATTTATTTATTTACTTATTTTGAGACGGAGTTTCACTCATGTTACCCAGGCTGGAGTGCAATGGCGCGATCTCGGCTTACCGCAACCTCCGCCTCCTGGGTTCAGGCAATTCTCCTGCCTCAGCCTCCTGAGTAGCTGGGATTACAGGCATGTGCCACCATGCCCAGCTAATTTTTTGTATTTTTTTTAGTAGAGACGGGGTTTCACCATGTTGACCAGGATGGTCTTAATCTCTTGACCTCGTGATCCACCCGCCTCGTCCTCCCAAAGTGCTGGGATTACAGGCTTGAGCCACCGCGCCCGGCTGAGACTGGGTAATTTATAAAGGAAAGATGTTTAATTGACTCACAGTTCCACAGGGCTGGGGAGACCTAGGGAAACCTATTATCATGGTGGAAGGGAAAGCGAAGATGTCTTTCTTCACATGATGGAAGGAGAGATAAATGAGTGCTGAGTGAAGGAGGAAGGAATCTCCTCATAAAACCACTGATAGTTCTCTCAGAGGACTTTATAAGGGAGAAGGAAGCCCCTAGTAAAATCAGTGATAGTGAGTTCTCTCTCAGATATTACGAGAACTCACTCACTATCACAAGAACAGCATGATGGAAACCACCCCTGTAATTCAATTATTTTCAACTGGTTTCACCCTTGACACATGGATATTATTGCAATTCGAAGTGAGATTTTGGTGGGGACACAAAGCCAAACCTTATAATTCTGCCCCCCTCCCCCAAATCTCATGTCTTCACATTTCAGAACACAAACATGCCCTTTCAGTAGTCCCCCAAAGTTTTATTAATTCATTCCAACAATAACCCGAAAGTCCAAGTCCAAAATTTCATTGGAGACAAGGCAAATCCCTTCCATCTAGAAGCCTGTAAAATCAAAATCAAGTTAGTTACTTTCTAGATACAATGAGGGTATAGGCATTGGCTAAATACACCTGTTCCAAATGGCAGAAATTGGCCAAAATGAAAGAGCTACAGGCCCCATGCAAGTCTGAAACCCAATAGGGCAGTTAATAAACCTTAAAGTTCCAAAATGATCTCTTTTGCCACCATGTCTCACATCCAGGTCACTGATGCAAGAGGCGAGCTCCTATGGCCTTGGGCAGCTCCATCTCTGTGGCTTTGCAGGATACAGTGCCCCTTCTCATCTGCTTTCATGGGCTGGAATTGAGTGCCTGTAGCTTTTACAGGCACACAGTGCAAGCTGTTGGTGGATCTCCCATTCTGGGGTATGGAGGAGAGTGACTCTCTTCTCATAGCTCCACTAGGCAGTGGGGGCTACAGCTCCACATTTCTCTTCCTCAGTGTCCTAGCAGAGGTTCTCCATGAGGGCTTCACCCCTGTAGCAAACTTCTTCCTGTACATCCAGGTATTTTCACACACCCTCTGAAATCTGGATGGAGGTTCCCAAACCTCAGTTTTTGACTTCTGTGCACCCACAGGCCCACCACCATGTGTAAGTCACCAAGGCCTGGGGCTTGCATCCTCTGAAGCAACGGCCTGAGCTCTGTGTTGGCCCCTTTTAGCCACAGCTGGGATACAGGACACCAAGTCTAAGGACTACACAAGGCAGCAAGTCCCTGGGCCTGGCCCAGGAAACCATGTTTCCTCTTAGAACTCTGGGCTTGTGATGGGAGGGGTTGCTGTTAAGATTTCTGACATGCCTTGGAGACATTTTCCCTATTGTCTTGGCAATTAACATTCAGCTCCCATTATTTAATGCAAATTTCTATGGCCAACTTGAATTTCTCCTCAGACAGTGGGTTGTTCTTTTCTGTTGTATCATCAGGTTGCAAATTTTCCAAACTTGTGCTCAACTTCACATGTAAACATGAGTTCCAATTCCAAATTGTATCTTTGTAAATACATAAAACTGAATGCTTTACAGAGCACCCGAGTCATCTCTTGAATGCTTTGCTGCTTAGAAATTTTTCCCGCTAGTTACCCTAAATCATCTCTCTCAAGTTCAAAGTTCCACAGAGCACTAGTGCAGGGGCAAAATGCTGTCAGTCTCTTTGTTACAGCATAGCAAGAATCACCTTTATTCCAGTTTCCAGCAAGTTCCTCATCTGGATCTGAAACCGTCTCAGCCTGGACTTCAATTTCCATATCATTTTCAGCATTTTGGACAAAGCCATTCAGCAAGTCTCTAGGAAGTTCCAAGCTTTCCCACATTTTCCTCTCTTCTTCTGAGCCCTTTAAACTGTTGCAGCCTCTGCCTGTTACCCAGTTCTGAAGTTGCTTACACATTTTGTGTATCTTTACAGCAGTGCCCCACTCTCTGTGGTACCAGTTTACTGTGTTAGTCTGTTCTCACAGCGCTATAAAGGACTGCCTGAGACTGGATAATTTATAAAGGAAAGAGGTTTGACTTGACAGTTCTGCATGGGTGGGGAGGCCTCAGGAAACTTACAGTTATGGCAGAAGGGAAATCAAACACATCATTTTTTACATGGCAGCAGGAGAGAAACATGAGTGCTGAGCAAAGGGGGAATCCCCTTATAAAACCATCAGATCTTATGAGAACTCACTGACAGAAGAGTTTGGGTGTGTTCAGGGTGATATGGTCATAGACAGAACTCACTATCATGTGAACAGCATGGTGGAAACCAGCCCCATGATTCAATTATCTCCACCTGGTCCTGCTCTTGACACATGGGGATTATTACAATTCAAGGTGAGATTTTATGTGAGGACACAGAGCCAAACATCAAATAGAGAAAGAGCTAAAGAATTTAATGTGTACTTTAGGGTTTGGCTATTTAAAGTGAGAGATAACTAGTAAGGTAGTCATCACAAGAAATTTGTATCAAAATCATTCTTATAATATTTTGACATTTATATGTGAACTCTTAGTGATTAACAGTGAATGTATAACATTTCTTTCATAATCCAAAATTTAGAATTCTGTTACTAACTTCTTATTTCCAATATATATGTGAATTTATTTACACATACAAAGTTTAATTGCTAGTTGGGATAATTCTAATTCAAAAGGTATATTTTCATTTAAGACTGATTAAAGCCTTCTTCTCCAATCCTAGAAACAACCCGAAACCATTTAACCATTATTGAAAGTATAGCCCTGACATCTATTACTATTTCTGAAAAATAGGCACTAATTAATGAATACACTATGTTTCTGCCATAATTGTTCTTTTTAGTTATTTATGATTTTCCAGTTTCCAGCTGATTTGACAACTTTCTCGAAAATTTTTCTTGCAGTGGAAATGCATTGACGTTAATAATCAGAAAATGATACTCTTACCTTTTTAAAAGTTGTACACATTTTTTTTAAAGATTATAATACTTTCGAATTATGTTTAACTTTTTCACTAAAACTGCTAACTCTAGGAAATGTTAAGTGGTAAATAGTCATATATTTTTCTGGTCTGAGAAGGTTGATGATTTGAAAATTGTGTTCTCTGAATCTGTGGTTTTCTACAAGGTTGACTGGCAAGTAGGAAAAACATAATGCAGGAAATGAGAGTCAGGTACACACAGGGGAGAAACCAACCCTTTGAAGGACAGGACTTTGTATATTTGTAGAATTTTACAACCTTTCATTTTATTAACATTCATTATTACTGTAGCAGAAGAATGGAAATACTCCCTTTTTAAGCAGTTGAGTTGGTATGTTTAAATTATAGTTTAAGAAAGTAACATTTTTTCCCAGTAAAAGCACAATATTTTACATGTTGCTATAAACAAATACCCTTAATCTTTCTCTATTATATATATTAGAATATTCCCAAGGTTGAAGTAGTCATAACACTGTAAGCTGATCATATTTTTCTTTCTTATTCAATTATGGTACCACATAGTGATAATGTTAGTATTCTGAAATACCTGAGAAATCTTAATTATTATTTTAAGTAGTGAAAGTGCGGTTTTTTGTGTTTTAATTCTTTGAAATGGGCGGTTTTTTAATGATATATTTTTAGTTAGCAGTTCTGGAGTAAACAATAGTTAAATTTGCTTGTTTTATGTATATATAGCCAGGCTGCAGTTCTCCAAACTCTTGATGCCACATTTGAGACTGGAGAATTGAAATAAGATGGTAATACTGAGTTGTTTTTTACTTCCACTCCCTCCCCCAACCCCAACCCTGTGTAAATAATTTCAATACAAAATTATAGTATTATTTTTCACAGTGGGCTCTGGATTCACACTGGTATGATCTGATTTCCAGCTCTACCTCTTAATTACCTCTTTGTCCTTAGGAAGTCATACTAACCTCTCCAAGCCTAGAGAGTAGTTAGAAATACTACTTTTTAGGGTTGAGAAGATTAACAGTCAGTAGTCGTAACTTCTGTGTATGTTAATCAGTACTGTATATAAACTATTCCTAGATTGTGTGATACATGTTTAATTGTGAAAATTTATAAAATACACAAAAACACAGAGAGGAGAATAAATTATCTGTGATTCTGTTTTGTTAAAAAATTTTTGGTGTTAAAATTTTGATGTATACACTTTTTTCAAAAAGTTGTCTTTAAGAAATATATCTTACAGGATCTTTCCCCCTACTTAGCAATAGATTATGCATATTTTTTCTTATGATTATAAATTATTTTAATGGCTTCATAAAGTTCCTCCTTTATAAACATTTTATTCCCATTTCTTTAATTTTGTTAATAATGTCAGCATCTTGTACTTGAACCTACTTTATACTAATAAAATAATTTAAAATATAAATCTCCCAAAGTAGATCTTGATCCTAGTGCATTTTTCCAATTTATTTTATAAACTATTTTCAGCTTTCCATTCCATTACCAATATGTCTTCTTATCTGGTAAAATAATATTTAAAAACAATATTATGTCATTTTTGTGAGTTTCAAATAGATCTTTGGAATTCACATGATTTGGGTTTTAGGAATAATGAATATATGTCATATTTATTTGTCAATTATATTTCTTCAGTAAGTTCCTTGTACATTTTCTTTGCCTGTTCTTTGGGGTCCTTAGAAGTCTTTCCTCAATTTGTTTCAAGCTTTTATAAGGATCTATATTAGTTTGTTAGGTGAGGATGGAATGTTATGAGCTGAACTGTGACTTGTCAAAATTCGTATGTTGAAGTCCTAACCTCCAGCACCTCAGAATGTGATTGTATTTGGAGACAGGAACTTTGAAAAAGGTAATTAAGGGAAAATGTGGTCATATGAGTGGGCCCAATCCAATAGAATCTCTTCCTTATAAAAAGTGTAGATTAGGAGACAGACAAACACATAGGAAGACACAGAAAATAGCCATATGTAAGGCAAGGAGAGAGACTTTGGAAAAAAAAAACAAACAAAAAACAAAACAAAAAAAAAAATAACTCTGCCAGTACGTTGATCTTGTACTTCTGGCCTCCAGAGTTATGTAAAAATAAATTTCTGTTGTTCAAGCTACCTAATCTGTGATATATGTTATGGTAGCCCCTAGCAAACTACATACAGTGCCTTAACCTTTTTCTTACCATATTTGTTGCAAATATTTTTTACTAACACGTTATGTCACTTTTAATTTTAGGTATATAGTTGGTTTTTAGAGGTATAGAAGTTTTCTCTTGTCTCAAAACTTAGAAAATTTTATCTTATTGTTTTAAATATGTAAGTATAAACTCATCATTTTAAATTTTTAACTACTTTAACACTGTACAAGACACTAAAAAGAAAAAAATTGTATTGTTTGAAAGTCTGACGCCTGTTTGTCATATCAGAATTTTAAGGAATGCCAGTATTATAGTATCAGCAGTGTTGCAATATTTGGTAGCAGCTATTCTGATCCTGTCTCCTACCCTATTCTGTTTGGGACTCTTAATTTATTTTATTTTATTTATTATTATTATTATTTTGCCTCAAGAAAAAATTGGACAGGGATTTTTTACAGATATCTTACCAATAGGTACTGAACTTCTATTGTCAGCTTTTTCTTAGGGTCTGTTCTTCTCATAGATGTGATATGATGTGTTTATCACTTTCGTTGGTTTATATTGTATGGTTACAATGTTTACAACTTCATATTGAGAAAGACTATTATTTGGAGACCCTTCTTGGTCTTCAGTGTTAAATAAATGATTTACCTTCTCTTTAATCCATTTCAGTTAGCCCCAATAAATCAATTAAGGACATTATACCTAACTTTTAGGTGAAAGTCAATTCTCCAAAGTCATACCTAGATTAAACTGGCACATATTTATCCAGGTGGCATCCATATATACCAGTATTACACCACCACATTTAATGAAAATTAGGAAAACCTGTCTGAAGGCAGCAGCGAGCTACTCAGGCAACAATAAGTGCAGGCTCC